AAAAAGAAGATTGCGTTTTCCTAAAGTGCAGCGCTGAGCGTTGAGTCAAACGCAAACATCCGCAGCGAGCAAACTTTCGCCTGTTACCCTATAGCGCTAGGCCTCAAGCTAGACCATCAGTCATTTGTTCGGAAGTCTTCAAAATCATCTATAGAATAGGAATTTCAACGATCGTTCATCTTAAACAAGAATTAACCAATTTTTCAAGTCGTAATGTACAACTTTCTTAGAGTGGGAATTCATACACTGTCGATGCGTTAGCAAGGTCATCAATAGATTTGATTCCAAATTAGCATCAATGATTATTTGAAATTAAAAAAAAAGGTACAAACAGATGGGGAACATTGAAATTGAAAAAGTAGTCATCTATAATCCCCTAGCAGTATATTCTTTATTAAAGTGTTGCAATCTGTTTTACTGATTGAAGTTCAATGATTCTCTTATGATAACAGAAGACATGCTATCGTATGCGGAAAACGATTTGAAAAACTGTAACAGTCGGATTGCAACTCAACAATGTAAATAGTAACGAGAGAAAGATGAAACAAATACATATCATATGATATGAAAATCTAGAAGAAAAGTCGGTCGAACTGGGAGTTCGTATATCTACCTGTTTTGCTAGAGTACCTCTACTATTAGAGCAGAGGGCACAGTCTCAGGAGCTTTCCCCGCGAATACAAGTATAACCAAAAATGACATAAGCTTAAACTAACAAGATTTTGATTTATACATATAACTGATTAACAAAATCATTTGGACATATTTCATCTGACGCTGTAGAATCCTAACATCTCACAATCTGACAAAACATCTTGATCCCCATTTGCAAACATTTCACATTCTTCATTAGTTGAAATCTATAAAGAGCTATTTTATTGGCAGTTCACATCATAAAAAGAAGAACTTACAACTTCTAACCACTCTTGTGTTTGGAATGTCAGCTTTAAATGAGCTAATACAGTTCCAATATCTGGATTATGGACAATCAAACAGCCTTTTTTTGCATGTTTGTGTATAAACTCAAAGCATTCTGCCTAAAATATACATTGAAGTAATAACGACAGCCCAAAACATGCACCCTTACCTGTTCATCTCTATCCATGAAAAACGAAAATACATTGTTCATAATTATCATATCCGCTTGAGAAACTAAATCTGCTCTGTTCCGGACATCAGCATGAACAACTTCGACATTCTAAACGAGGCATTTCAAATAAGTACATTGTTGCCAAAAACTTGGAGACTTACCTGTAGGTTAAAATCCTTAATAATGTTTTCTTGAAGTTTGACAAATTCTTCATTCATTTCTACTCCAGTGGCGATAACACGTCCACATCTGAATGGAAACTGTCAATTCTTATGGTTTGCTTTCAAAAATTGGATGTTTTGTGAGTCTGTTGCTCAACTCGTCAAAGGTGTGCGGTACATAATAATACACGACTTGCGTAGCCGCTGCCTTCCGTACGAAGAGAGGGCCCATTATCTGTGAATTAGAGGCAAAAGGTACAAAAGGCTGCAAATTTCGAAAAATGCTTGCAAGTATTCGACACTTGCTTTCTTTCCTTGTCATTTTTTAAACCTTATGAAGAGGATCGCCTTTTTTGCTTAGAATAAAAACGTCTCGGACACTTATTTGAATAATATGCTTGAGCATTCGTCTGATTCAAGTATTTGAAAATTCAAAATTATCATTCGTTCGATTCGATGCATAGTATACA